AAGAATGTTCTAGGACATTCTGGAACTTATTTTCTGAATCTTAAAGGTTCTTGAACAATCAAAAGTGTCTAGAAAGATCTGGAATCTCCTAGAACCTTCTAGTACTTTTCAGAATACTCCTAAAATGTCCTTACAGGCTGCTGATGGCTCGTCCTTGATGATGCGGTTTGAATTGGTTGGATCTGGTTAGCCGATGGGATGCGATTTGACGGACCAGTTATTTTCTGGAAAATTCCTATGAATCTGGGGGCTAGAAGAGACTAAATAAGACGGTCTTTTATAGGGACCGACATAATTGAGATCAACGGTATATGTCGACGCTTGTGGAAGTTAGGTCATCTTTCAGCTCGATTATCTCGGTTCCTGTGAGAGATATCAAAAAATGGTCAACTGATAGATTGTTTATCATAATATTTTAATTATTTCATCAATTGACCACTTTTTGATATCTTTTACAAGACCTGCGATAATTGAGCTCAAAATGTAAGTAGGTTTATAGCCTAGTTTCCGAATGTTAGGTCATCTTCTCGCTCATTTATCTCTGCCACTATAAGAGATAACAAAAATCTGTAAACTGATAAATGAACTTTCATAATATCCCTAACATTTTATCAGTTGTCCAATTTTTAATATCTTTTAAGTAAACCGAGATAATTGAGCTTAAAGTGCAAGTAGCTTGTATACGTTAGGCTAGCTAGGTAAAACAAAAATTAGAATAAAACAGCTTACAGAATTTTCTAAAAGCTCAGCTCTCTTTTTAGGCTACAATAAGAATGAGAATAAATGTTTCCAGAAACTTCTATAAGCTCAAAAAGGGGGCGTGGCTTAAACGCAACATTTCCTCTCGGAAAATGACAGAAACGCGCACCGCAATTATCCGACACTCACCATTTTCATCGTACAATCACAAACTATAGAGAAACCACAAATTTCGAAAAACTTCGAAAACTCGAAAAACAGAAAAATATAATTATTAGGTATTTGTTGTTGTGTGTGTTATGTTTGTATGTTCCTGGTACGAGAGAAAGTGGAAAACAGAATTTTCTGAGAAAAAAGGGGATTATGATGAATGTCTAGTCTGGTGGGTCCCTAGGGGATGGGGGGTACTGATAAGGTTTTGATGTGATAAGAACATTCTGAGAACCTTAAAAAATAACAGAGAATACATATCTTTTGAATGGGGGAAGAATTTATGAAGGGGGTTTTAATGAACATCAAAGTTGCTCTAGAACGCCTATCCTACAATTGAGCTTAATTATCTCGGTTCCTGTAGGAGATATCAAAAAATGGTCAACAAATAAAATGTTGGCAAAATTATGATAAACATTTTATTAGTTAACAACTTTTTGATATCTTTCATAAGAGCCGAGATAATTAAGCTCAAAATTGTCTGTGGTAATTTGAACATTTTTATTAAAAAATAGTCAAGTTCGGAGTTCTAGAAAAGCAATCCAAAATTGTTCAATTTGTCTAAAAATTTCAGAATGTACTAAACAAAAATAGAACTTCAATTTTGTAGTTGACAACTTCTTAGTAGCTTCTTTGGTTTTTGAGATATGCGCCTTTAAAAAGTACCACTTTGCCTCACTTTCCCCCGGCCCATCTTAAAGGAGAGGGTGGGGATGGTATTTTTAAAGGCGCATATCTTAAAAACCAAAAATTCTACAAAAAAGTTGTCAACTACAAAATTGAAGCTCTATTTTTGTTTAATATACTGTGAAATTTTCAAATGAATCGAAAGTTCCAAAAATTCTAAAAATTCCAAAAATTCTCAACATCAGATTTTCTGAATTTTCTAAAAGTTTAGATAAGTTTTCTAGATCATATATCAACTAGAATACTTTAAGTTGACTCTGCTGAGATACGCGGAAGCGAGCGATCGTTAGAAAACAAGAAAAAAACATTTTTGTTCAAAAAGTAATAGCACAAGAGAGAAAAAAGGACAGGTGAAGAGAACTGAGCAAATGAGTGTACACTTTTTGTTGGAGTCTCTGACTCTCCAAATAATTGGGTTTTCCCCCCAAACAATTTGGTTATAAAGGTTGGATTTCTCATATTTTTTGCACGACGACTTTTCTTTATGACGAAAAATAAGAAAATTGGGAAATACATAAGAAAAAAAAAAGATTTTTGAGTACAAGTACAGAACTCAAAGAATGGAGAGTTCAGATATTAGGGATCGAAACGGTGGAAATTTAGGAAAATTCTGAAAATAACAAATTTTCTGGAAAAAATTAAAAATTCGTTTGCTGGAAATATCATATGCCGTGAGCACTCTAATAGAACGGCACCCAATCATTTAAATTTAAGCTATCAAAAAGTTGTCAATTCCCGTGAAAGATATCAAAAAGTGTTTAACTAACACCGTTTCGATCCCTAATATCTGAACTCTCCATTCTCTGAGTTCTGTACTTGTACTCAAAAATCTTTTTTTTTCTTATGTATTTTTCAATTTTCTTATTTTTCGTCATAAAAAAAAATTGTCAACTAATAAAATCTTTATCATAATATCAGCAACATTTAATCAGTTAACCACCTTTTGATATCTCTCACAGAAAATGAGATACATGGGCTCAAATTTGATGATTCGGGTGGCGTTCCGTTAGAGTGTTTACGGTACCATAAATTTTCGAATGTTTCAATTTTCTTGGAACTTTGAAATTTAAAATTTCAAGTTTTTGAAAGAAAAAGTTGATCAATTCTCTTTTCAGTATTTTTGAAAAAAAAGATTTTCGAAACTTTTTGAATGGTTTGCAAAAAAAAATTATACTTGCACTATTAGATAATTCTGCTCGATTGGTTTGTATCCAGAAATTCTAAGAATTGATCCTCTCAAAAAAGCGTCACACCTTTTTTTACTATTATAAAAAGTACATATTTTTATATAGACTACAAAATATAAACTAGACTATAAAGTGGACCAAAAAATGAAGTTTTTGAAAAAGCGATTTTTTTATTCTAGAAACTTTATGAGAGAAGTGAAAAAGTTAAAAAATGGAAAAAAGTCAAAACTGAGAGAAAAATAAAAAATCTTCACCTGTTCAAATTGAGAATCACGGAAAATAAAATGTTTTGACATACAAAATTTTGGGATTTCTGAATTTCCGAATTTCTGAATTTCTAAATTTCTGAATATCTGAATTTCTGAATTTCTGAATTTCTGAATTTCTGAATTTCTGAATTTCTGAATTTCTGAATTTCTGAATTTCTGAATTTCTGAATTTCTGAATTTCTGAATTTCTGAATTTCTGAATTTCTGAATTTCTGAATTTCTGAATTTCTGAATTTCTGAATTTCTGAATTTCTGAATTTCTGAATTTCTGAATTTCTGAATTTCTGAATTTCTGAATTTCTGAATATCTGAATTTCTGAATTTCTGGATTTCTGCATTTCTGAATTCCCAAATTTTGAAATCTAAAAATTACAATATTCAGAAGTGAGAATTCAGTAACTTGAAAACACAAAAACCAAAAAATGTATTATTTGGAACATCGGTATTTTTCAGAATTCTAGATTCTTTGTTAGAACTTTTTGGAACTTCTGAACTTCTGAAATTTCAATAATCCAGAATTAGAAGACTTCAGTTCCGAACGTATTCTGAACTCCAAAATTCAGAAAGAGGGTGGATTCTAATAGTAAGTTGAAAGAATAATTTGTAAGCTTCAGTGAATTTCAAAATACATATTTTCTCTTGACTCATTATTAAAATTAATAATCCGAAAAGATCAAGAAGATCAACGAAATTAAAGTGAAAACATCAAAATAACACTTTGTTTCAAATTTTACAAAATTTTCGCGAAACTCAACATTTCTAAAAACATTCAAATATTCAAAAATTCAGAAATTGCAAAATTCGAAAATTCAAAAATTGAAAATAAGTTCTCTATTTGTTCTGAAGATGAGAATTGAATATTCTGTAAAATCCAGCAAATGATTTCAAGGAACAGGTGAAACCCTGTTCAATTTTCCTGAAGTTTCCATTTGGTCTCCATGACAAAAAGTTTTAAATGTTTTATGAGATTTTGTCATGTCAAACTAGAAAATACAGCTGTGTCATTTGTCATTTTTTTTGAATTCTTAGAAACTCAAAAAGTTTATTAAATTATGCTAATAAAACACATTTCCTTTTTCCGAAATGCCGGAAGTTGGAAATTCAGAAATTCAGAAATTCAGAAATTCAGGAATTCAGAAATTCCGAAATTCCGAAATTCCGAAATTCAGAAAAAACACTCTGAATATTAGAAATTTTTAGAATTTTCCAACTTTTTAGAAACTTATCTAAAATTTTAGAATTCAGAATTTCTGGAATTTCCAATTTTCGAGTTTTGGAAACTTCCAAATTTAAAAAATTCTCAAAAAACCAAAAAGCCCGCTAAAAAACCAAAACAAACACTTCTAGAACCTCTTCATCATTATCATCTCCCTTCGCTTCTTTTCCCTCTCTCAAACGCAAACACTATTTCCAAAAACGACCCGACTTGAGAAAAAAGGAAAAAGAAAAAAAAATACATACTGAAAAAAAATCAGATTAGTTGAAAAAAAAATTGAAGGAAATCTGAGTAAAGGGGGGCAAGGAAATTGGGGGATTCAGATTAAATTTTCTTCTGATGACGTCACGTCATCAGAAGTCAGAAGGCTAGTAGAAAAAGAGAAATTCTGGAGTTTTAGAACTCTAGCAAATAATAGGATTTGGAAATTTTAGAATTCTACAAATTAAAAAAACATTTCGAGATTCAGAATTATCGTATTTTAGGAAATTTTGAATATAAGATATGATCGGAAAAAAAGTTGTTTTCAGAATTTTAGAATTTTCAATTATTTGAGAAGAATTCCCAACATTTTCCAAAATTTAAAATATTTAAAAAATTAAATTTCAGGGTTTCACAGAATTTTAAGATTTCAGAGAAAAAATAATGTACTAACCTTCCGACTACAGCAATTGTAACCGGTTTCTTCGGGTTCTGGAGGCATCACTGGTTGCACTCGCACAGGCGGTCGTGGTCCGGGTTTCTGAAATCGGATGGCAATTACTGAGAGTTTTTTTTTCGAATTTCAACTTTGAAAAGTTTAGAACTTGTTGGTATAATTGACAAAGTTGGGAATTCCAGAACGTTCATTTCTTTACTATTAACAATCACCAAATTCTGTGTGTGTGTCCGGTGTTCCCGGGTCGCCGACCCTAGCGCAGTCACCGTTGGACCAAAACTTATCAAATTTTCGCAGATAATCCGAACTAGCAGCAAGATGATGCCCGACTGTTTTGATTTTGATAATATCGAAATCAAATTTCTGAAATTGAGGTCATGAGACTACAAAAATCTTTTTTTTTGGAAAATTTTGAAGTTGACTGCTCTCACAGGTAGGTTAAAAAGTTCACGGAAAAATTCACGCCGGCGGCCATAATCTTCTGGTTTCAGAAAAAAAAGGGTCCAGAAATTGTGAGAGATATTCTGAGATTCCAAAATCTAAGAAAAAATCAGTGAAATAAGAACCAGAAAATTCTGATATTCTAAAAATTCGCCATTTTCACACCTAATGAGATAATGACCTGTTTTTCAACACAAAAATATGTTTTCCATTTTCATCTCAAAAACAAAAAATAGTAATGATCTAGAATTTGTGTTCGTATGAATATTATTAAAGATTTCTGAAATATGAAAATATTTTTTCAAAATAGCAAGTCTAATAATGAAATTTCGACACTGTTCCCTTGCAGCCGGAAGTTTTAGAACTGGTATTTATATTCAGAAAAAAGTCTTCCTGGTCTTCAATTTCCTATTTTCTCGGGTCTAAAAGTCAAATAATTGTATCTGTGTCGTAAATGAAAAATTTAAAATTGTTTTTCGAAAAGTCAGAAAGTACGAAAATGGGGAGTTTGACACTCCCTAACATCAGTTTTCTAGAACGATACTTATTTTCCGAAAATCCAAAATAGATCATTGGAAGATTCAAAAAACCACATTTTAAAATCCAAAAACAGAGTATGATAAATCAAACTTTATGAAAAATAAATCCGCCACCTTCTTCCTTTAAATCGAGTAGGTATCACGTACCCCCATTTTCGAATTTTGTAGAAATTTTTTTGAAGAATCGTAACTAGGTCAATTCCGGTCCGTTTTGGCTGTTTTTTTTTTCAATCGATAGAAAATCTCTATGGCTACCCGGTTGCTAAAAATCGTCGAAATTGGTACATTTTGAACCTATATATATATTATGACGCAAAGCGAACAAGTGGATCCGATTTTTTTTCGGTTTTCCGGTTTTTTCTACCGGATTAAGGCCTAAATTAAAAATATGCCACGGTTACGAGATGCACAATTTTGATACCTATGCTGAGACAAAAAAAATTACCTGATTCGCTAAAAATTGAAAAAATTGTATTAAGTTTTGAGTGAAATGTTCGAAATTCCGATGGTCCAGCTTCCACCTCTTGGTACGCGAGAACCACTCAATGGATTGGTTTGATTTTTTGCATCCCCATAAAGGAAGATCCCTAATTTCATTTTCTGTTTTCAAATTTTTTTCAGGTACACTGGTTCGAGAGAAATCGGTCAGAAACCGCACAAAAATCGGGTAAAATTCGAAAAAATTTCGTCTAAAACTAAAATATCGTGAAAAATCGTTCGAAAAAATTTGCCTCGAAAAATGTATCCCTCCTTATCCTGGAACATCTTTCTCACTAAATTTTTTGTTACTTTTTAGGTGTTGCTGATATCTCTGATAGCTAATACATAAAATCCAAACATGTTAGAAATTATTGTTTGTGTTTGTGTTTGAGAGAGGGAAAAGAAGCGAAGGGAAATGAAATGATGAAGAGGTTCTAGAAGTGTTTGTTTTGGTTTTTTAGCGGGCTTTTTGGTTTTTTGAGAATTTTTTAAATTTTGAAGTTTCCAAAACTCGAAAATTGGAAATTTCAGAAATTCTGAATTCTGAAATTTTTAGTTTCTAAAAAGTTGGAAAATTCTAAAAATTTCTAATATTCAGAGTGTTTTTTCTGAATTTCGGAATTTCGGAATTTCGGAATTTCGGAATTTCTGAATTCCTGAATTTCTGAATTTCTGAATTTCTGAATTTCTGAATTTCTGAATTTCTGAATTTCTGAATTTCTGAATTTCTGAATTTCTGAATTTCTGAATTTCTGAATTTCTGAATTTCTGAATTTCTGAATTTCTGAATTTCTGAATTTCTGAATTTCTGAATTTCTGAATTTCTGAATTTCTGAATTTCTGAATTTCTGAATTTCTGAATTTCTGAATTTCTGAATTTCTGAATTTCTGAATTTCTGAATTTCTGAACAGTCAAAAAGGAGAATCTATCAGAAATGAACACAAAAAAACACAATTCCAATTTTTGAAATACGACGATTTTGAGAAGAGATATGAGGGTTTTAATGGGAGATTCATCTAGCAATTTTTCAGAAAAAATGTTTGGAATTCGAAGCTAGGAAAATGAAAAAAACCTTTTTTCACACATCCTTTTTATTCAAAAATTATCACAATTTTCTATTCACTCAAAAAGCGCTCTCGAATTTTCTAGATTGATTCCCCTGGGGGATCCTAAATCAGTGCGATTAGTCATATCACTCGGAAAATGTTGGATTTTCAGACTCATGTTTTTGTTCCAAAGAAAACTGATCTTACAGTTTAGGGAGTGTTGCATTCCTATTTTTGTATTTTTTGACTTTTTAGAGAATTTCGAAATTTTTCTTATGCGCCACAGATACAAATATTCGGTAGGGAAATGGCCTGTTTCAAAATGAACAGTTCTTAGATTTTTAGGTACAGATGTTTCCTTGGAGTTTGAATTTTTGTCCGTGTAGCTCAGCTGGGAGAGCCTAGCTCGTGGCCGAGTCTTTTGTTAAGCCATTGTGCTTAAACTGAGCGATCCCAGAAAGCATCTAAACTGCTTCCATTCATGGCCTAACTTGCAGTGATGGGAGGAAACGCATTTTTCCGAAATACGGAAAACGGGAACGGAAAATTTTTTTCAAAAATCGGGCGGAAAACGGAAACGGAAGCGGAAATATAATTTTACTATTACGGAAACGGAAACGGAAAAAAGGTCTCTAGAAACCAAGCGGAAAACGGAAAACGGAAATTCCTCCCATCACTGCTAACTTGCATGGGTTAACTCCTCCTGATTCCTCTTGCCTCGATATCGAAGCGAATAACTCCCAGACGGAAGACCTCCGAAGTAGTATTTTTCAATAGTCTAACTTCTCTTTCCTAATTTACCCCAGATTCACTTTTTCACAAACTCCATAAACTATTCTCTGTTCTAGTTCTCAAGTCAGAGAATAAGTTAAGTGATGAACAGGTGAAACCGAACAACCAACGTCAAGTTTGTTTTCAGATGCACCCAAGTGCGTCAATGGAGTTCTCTATCACAGTGACTACTTGTTGCATACGTGCTCCATTGATAATTTTTGACTGTCGAGACTTTGAGAACGATTATCTCCGCTTCTATGAGAGATATCGAAAAGTTGTCAACTGATAAAATGTTGAGAATGTTATCATCAACATTTTATTAATCGGCAAATTTTTCATATCTTTTATGGGAAACGAGATGATTGAGCTCCAAGTTGTAATCTTTACGAGTTTCGTTACTTAGAAGTCAGATAAGCAGTCAAATTCGCCATTTTCACACCTAATGAGATAATGACCTGTTTTTCAACACAAAAATATGTTTTCCATTTTCATCTCAAAAACAAAAAATAGTAATGATCTAGAATTTGTGTTCGTATGAATATTATTAAAGATTTCTGAAATATGAAAACCTTTTTTCGAAATAGCAAGTCTAGTAATGAAATTTCGACACTGTTCCTTGCGAAACAGATCACTCTTGCAGCCGGAAGTTTTAGAACTGGTATTTATATTCAGAAACATATAGCAAGTTTGCTTTATTGACAGAACAACTTTAAAGCTATTTTAAGCTAGATTAAGCTAGAAAAGAATATATTTGATCAATTGGGCCTCGGAGGTTACAAATTTTCATTCTTGCAACGGGCCGCGCCGGGACGGGCTTTTTTCAGAATTTTCAGGGCCCGGCCCGGGTTTTCAAAAAAAATTGGCTCTTTTCTAGTTTAGAGGTCCCAAAAAAGAATAGAGGTCCGAAAAAAATTAGAGGTCCCAAAATAAAATAGAGGTCCCAAAAAAAATTAGAGGTCCCAAAAAAGTTTAGTGGTCCCAAGAAAAAATAGTGGTCCAAAACTTAAAAATGCACAGATACCGGAATAATGTACTAAAATTTGAATTGTGTAAGAATTTAAAGTTTTGAGGTCTTATAGCAAAATAATTGTTGGTGATATATTTTATACTTCTAATAGGCTTAGGAATGCATATTTTCTGACAATTATCTAAGCCTGAGAGACAGCATAATCACGGAGTGATTACTGTATTGCCCAAATTTTCCTCATATGTAAATTGGGTTCATCGGCAAGATGCGAGAGAATAGGAGCTAAAATTGTTAGGAGTAGTCATGTCATCCTATAAGACCCTAAAACTCAAACTACTCGCACAGTTCAAATACTAGTACATTATTCCAACATCTGCGAGTTTTTCGTATTTTGGACCTCTATTTTTTCTTGGGACCTTTAAACTTTTTTGGGACCTCAAATTTTTTTTGGGACCTCTAATTTATTTTTGGACCTCTAACTTTTTTTCGGACCTCTAAATTTTTTTGGGACCTCTAAACTAGAAAAGAGCCAAAAAATTTTGGGGTCAATAAACAAAAAAAAGATTTTTCTGTCAAGTAAAAAAAGATAAGAGTGTCCATAGAAAAATTTTTCACAAAAAAATTTGAAAATTTTTTTGAAATTTCGAAACAAATTTTCGAATTTGAAGAACCCGTGCCCGCCGGGCCGGGCCAGGCCCTGATTTTGCAAGTATGCAAAATTTTGAATTGGTCTTCAAAAATGCAATTCCTGCCGAAATATTAAAAAAAAAGACAAACCGGTTGTCGAGGGCGTTCATTTGAATCTGACGTCGTCTCTAATGCTCCATTATCTGCGTCTAGGGTATCTTCGGCTCCAGATGAGTTGATTGTGTCACCACTGGAATCGTCGTTTTCAATGGCTGGGGTTGGCATATCTGGAAGAGAAGGAGCTTGGCGGGAATTCAAAACCTTTGGGGCAACAGGAACTTTGAGCTCAAGTATCTCGATTTCTGTGAAAACTACCAAAAAACTGTCAACTGATGAAATGCTTATCATAAAATGCTTTACATTTTATCAGTTGGTACATTTTTTGTATCTCTCGAAGGAACCGAGATAATTAAGACCAAAGTTTCAAGCTTTGGAATATGTGAACTGTGAAGTTTGAAAAAAAACGAAAAACAGAGCACATGAAAAACAAACAGAAACCATTGGGGTTTGCTCAGAAAATGAGAAGTCAGCTTCGATAATTGAAAAACGCCTCCTAAAATTCTAAAAAAAATAATTAAAGAAGAAATATAGGTAGATCAAATGAGCATTTATTTTCTTATGCACGTTCCCCGAAAGAAAGCACCCAATTTGATTTGTTTCATTTGATGATGACGTCAGCAATAAAAGGATAATAAATTTAAAAAATGGCCTAGTAAAAATGGCCTTCTGGGAAGTTAGGTCATTATGAGATATTGGAAAAATTCAAAGAAAAAAACAACAAAAAAATTAAAATTTCTTGGAAAAACTAAACTGAAAAGTAATAGGAAAAAAGAAAAAAGTGAAAAAAACAGCAGATGAAAATTTTGGGGAAAAATGAGTATTTTTTTTTTAACTTTGTCATATTTTCTGAGAGTCATGTGGAGTTAGGAAATGTAGAAAAAACGTTTCACATATATTTTTTTTCGAAATTTTTCAAAATTCAAAAAAATTCGGAAATTACAAGGAAACTTCCGGAAAAGTCTGAGTTGCAAATAAGACTGAAAATCGGGAACTTTGAAAATTTGGAAGTAAAAAAGAGTTCAAAAATCCTGAAAATCGCGAAAAATCAAATTCCTAATTTTCAGAAAGTCAACATTTCTTTAAATCTAAAAAATATTTGAGATTTTCAAAAATTCGGGATTTTCAGAAGTTCAAAATTTCGAAAATCCGACATTCTGAAATTTTGAAAATAAAAATTTTGAAATGAAATTGGGAAATTCAGAAGTTCAGGAATTTCAAAAAAAATAGACGACCATCAAAAGTTGAAGTTTATAGGAAATACTGAAATTTCTAAATTTCCATGAATTCAGAAATTCAGAAATTCAGAAATTCAGAAATTCAGAAATTCAGGAATTCAGAAATTCAGAAATTCAGAAATTCAGAAATTCAGAAATTCAGAAATTCAGAAATTCAGAAATTCGGAAATTTAGAAATTCAGAAATTCTGGACTTCTGAAATTCAGAAATTCAGAAATTCAGAAATTCAGAAATTCAGAAATTCAGAAATTCAGAAATTCAGAAATTCAGAAATTCAAAAATTCAAAAATTCATAAATTCAGAAATTCAGAAATTCAGAAATTCAGAAATTCAGAAATTCAGAAATTCAAAAATTCGTAAATTCAGAAATTCAGAAATTCAGAAATAAAATTTCGAAAAATTCCAAAAACTAAAGTAAATTGTTGGTTGATGTGGGGGTGGAATAGAGGGTGCCGTTTTGAAGAAGTCTATAATTATTTCTAGCATTTTTGATTTTATAAATAACAGAAAACCTTTGAAGAGCGCAAAGTTTAGCAGAATCATTTTGAAATTATTATTTTTTTTTGAAATCGGAATTTTCAAATTTTGTGAAAAAAGTTATCAAGCAGAATTTGAAGTTGTATTCATAGTTAAATTGAGCAGGGAAGCAGATGTTTCAAAAACTTCGAAAAATGAAGACGTCATGGATTCTGCAGACAATAAATTGAAAACATATGATTTTTTTGTAATTTTCGAATTTTCAAAATCAAGCGCAATAATCATCAAAGAAGAAATTCGTGAAACATAGAAAGTTAGTTATGAGTCAGCACAGAAATAAGCAGCTGTAATGTTTTTGTGGATTTCAGTTAATTAGTGTCTAGTGTTCTTTGTACTTTTCGAGAAAACTAAACTAGAAAAACTTCTAAACAAAACCTTTAAAATTGGGAGGTATGAAAACGCGCTCCAATGAAAAGATTTTTGGGAGCGAGAGAGTACAATTCTAGTGAGAGGCACAGATAACAAACATTTTTGATCTAATGTGCCGCAAACTTCTGAACTTGGACAAGTCGAACATCTTATTTATTTTTGAAAGGCAACCGCGCTCCTCCGAACAAAACGGCTTTGCGCTGAAATGTTCGAAAAGATTAAAAAATTCAAAATTCATTTTTAAAAAATCAAAAAATGAATAAAATTGACAAAATCAAAGGAATGAAACTAAATTCGTTTGATGTTAACGAGGTAGTAGTGGGAATTTTAGAGGTCGTTGAGGGGATTACTGTAGTTACTGTAGTTGGTTGTGTAACAGTAGAAGAGGCGGGCGTCAAGGGCGTTACTGTAGAAACTGTGGGTACTGTAGTGGAGACTACTGTAGCCGGTTCCGTCTGAGTAGAGGAGGCAGATGTCGAGGGGATTACTGTAGTTTTGATTACTGTAGTTGGTTGTGTAGATAGCAGGACTGAGACTGTTGTTGAGAAGACAGGCGCTGAGGAGATTGGAATTACTGTAGAAACTGTAGGTACTGTAGTAGAGATTACTGTAGACGGTGTCATAGAGGTAGTTGGTCGCATCGTGGTTTTCGGCAAAAGGTCTCCTTGAAATCCGTAATACTGACAATAAAAGACTCCGGGATGAATACTGGTCGAGTTGACAACTAGAAACTTGGCTGGATCAAGCACATCCATTTGTTCGTGAATACTTTGCCCTTTTGCATCGCTGAAAACATATCTTCTACAGAAAACAGATTGGCTCAAAGTTGTTTGGGTTGATTATTACAGGTTCTGGGCCACTAGCATAAAATTATCAACCTTTTGTCAGTTTTTTTTTACTTTTTGATATCTCTTACGGAAATGAAGATAATTGAGCTTAAACTTTGAGCCTTAAAGTGCCAGTGATGTATTAGGCCATATACGGTAAGCAAATTGGGACCATTTGGTTCGAATTCTAGAGTGCTCATATTCAGAGAAAAAGACATACAAAGACATTTCAATCTCTCCTCCATTTTCATCCAATAAACGGAATTCGATCAAAGTGTCGTTCGATTCGATGAATGTGGATACCTGAAAACTTGCAGTCATTCGGGAGGGGACATATCCTTTTTTAAGGCTTCATATTCAAAAAAAAAAGAAAGATATGAGAGAAGTACTATAAAATGATACAATTTGTGACGATGACCTGTATATGCCAAATAGATTTCTCTAGGAATTTCATAAGGATACCGATTTTTTAAATTACCGCGCAGAGGTGTTCGAAATGGCCTTTTTCGGTATTTTCCGATTTTTAAAATCTCGGAATTTCGAAATCTCGGAATATTCTGTTTTTGATAAATTCGGAATTTCGGAACTTTTAAAAATTCAAATTTTAAAGGTGGGGGGACAGGAGATTTTTAGTAGTTTTTTTGTAGCTAGACATTCTACCGTCACGGTGTACAACGCTTAATGTCACTCTGCGTACAGCTGTCGTCCTCGCCTTTATGTATGCAATCGGGTGTGCGCTTTCTCTTTGCATGCGTGGCTCAGTCGGTAGCGGCGCCGCACCCTCAATCATCGCCCTCACAAGTTCAACTCCTCGAGGGGCATCTTTGAACGGAATTTCGAGAACATTATTTTTTTTTCATGTCCCCCCACCTTTAAAGTGGAAATTCCATTTTACCATCACAAAAACGCCAAAAACTGGTGAAAATTGACAGAAAGGTTTCTGCAGTTTCGGCAGTGCAAAAAACATCAAAAGTAATTCCGCTCGGGACAAACAAGCCAGTTTTTCTTGTTATACTGTAGTCATAAAATTACCTAATTCCGATCGGAATTTTCGGAATTCCGAATTATGTTCCGGACATCCCTGTTACCGTGACCATATTTATTAATAAAATGGCCTCCTAACCGTCAGAGTTGGTCCAATTTACCTCGTTTCCTGTGAAAGATGTCGAACAACTGTCAAAATGTCTGTGATATTATGATAAACCTTTTGTAAGTTGACTACTTTCGAAATCTTTCACAAGGACGGAGATGAATCGACTCAAAGTTGGCGGCTAGGAATTGTATTTTTTATCATCTTATAGCACTTCCCGAGATGATGAGCTTATCATGACAGTCAATCAAATATGCAGCCTGAAATTCTAAAGAAAATAGAATCAAAACCCTACTATCACGCCAGCGTCTCGTTCTCTCGTCGGATCCAAAATAAAGTTGACGGTGTGTTCTAAAAACACGTCGTTGTTCACAATAATCCCAGTTGTTTCAAATGCAGTTGTCGTGTAGTTGAGAGTGCGGACAAACTTGTTTTCAATGGTCATCGTTAATGGACCAGAAGACTTGAGATACCAATAGTCCTGGTTGATTTGAAGGGGTTCTATGTTGTTGAATCTGCAATTTCAGCTCAATTATCTTGGTTCATAAATATAAAATTTGGTCAAAATGTAGGCAATATAATGACAAACATTTTATCAGTTGACAGGTTCTTATTATCTCTCATAGGAACTGAGATATATGAGCTTACGTCTTCTTATACCGCGTGCATGTGCCATTATTATAGCAATTGGCTGCAAGAATTGGATTCTCGAAAAAGCGGTTTTTAGTAATGGTGGTCCAATTTTTGGCAGGAATACCCCAATGGAAATCAAACTCGGTATTTGCTGACTGATTGATATTAGTCACACGCGACGTTTTGAGTGGCTTATCAATCTCATCTGAATCCGAAATCAGTGCAGTGTTAAGAATGACGACAGTCGAGTTGGCGTTAGTTGTAACGATTGTGTGATTCGTTTTGATAACGGCTACGGAGAAGTTGGGATCTGCAAATTTGAATGATGGGAGTTGAGACTTAACCATACTTAAAACAGCGCCAAAACGGATATATATATATTTTTTTTTTTCGGACCAACTAAATTGGTTATGATAGAAAAACTCAAAAACTACAAAATAATACTATTCAGAAACCTGTATCTTGTGTATGAACAAAGTTACAGGTCAAGTAGCTAACAGGCAGAGTCCAGCTAGTTTTGTAGCTTGTAACTTTGTTCTCGGACTTTTTCAAATAGCAACGTTTTGTAGATCTCGTCGAGTTCTATCAAGTTTATCCAGTTCAAAAATATTGATCCTGAAAGTAACTATGGGCCTTTGGAACTCACCATCTGCTTGTTGTTTAGTGGTTATATATAGATAACCAGTGAGCGCATCGGTCACATCATCTAAATTTTGATTTGATAGAACCACCTTGTCGGAAACTGTTATGAATTTTGGAGTGTCGCTGAAGTCATAGAGTTGGTCCAATCTGAAAAACAACATTATCTTGATTTTGAGGATTAAGAAAGCGTAATGCGCTCTACCGCACATGCACCGTGCGATGGAGCGCACTATGCAATAAGCACTACTTCTTACGTTATATTGACGGTTCCTGTGACAAGTGTAATCTTGTTGAGACTCTCGTTAGCATCATTCGAAGCCAAATATAATTTTCCTCCACCCTGAAATTCTAGCATTTAACTATGAGCCAATTTATTTGGGTTCCTGTCAGAGATATCAAAAATCCGTCAACATGAAATGTTAAGGATTTTATAACATAAGTTTTGTCAGTTGATAATTTTTGAATATCTTTCACAGGAAATAAGATAATTGAGCTCAAAGTCGAAGTACTGTAAACACTCTACTAGAGCGCCACTAACTTTCAACAGCCAATTTATCCCGTTTCTTGTGAAAGATATCAAAAAGGTGTTGACTAAAAATGTTCAGCTGATAACTCTTACAGGAATTGAGATAAATTTTTTCAAAGTTTCCGGTATGGAGAACATTCTATTTTCAACAACGAAGACTTACCTCAACATTGTAAATCGTATAAATTCCTGGACCTTCTTTGCCTTTTAATGGGATAAGAAATGGATCGCAAGTTACAGAAACAGCTAGTAACAGTATCCAGTAAATGTACATTTTCGAAAAAACCAAAAATTTTTAATGATAAAAAGAAAGGTTTGAATACAAAAGTCAACTCTCTTATCGCCTTTGAAGTGTTTCTAATGCGTTGAGAAGGAAATCACATCATTATTGAGAGCAAAATGAAACCAAATGATCGGGAAAAAGAAATTTCGAAATATTTCAACAAGTTTCGCCTATTTTTAATTGAAAACTGGTAATTATGATGTCCTACTGTAGTACTCCTACAAAAGTGGTCCAGAATTTTCAGATTTATCTGAAAATTTCAGAATATACTAAACAAAAATAGAGTTTCAATTTTGTAGTTGACAACTTGTTTCTAGCTTTTTTGGTTTTTGAGATATGCGCCTTTAAAAATACAGCCCCCCCTCTGTCTCCCTTTGTGATGAAGGAGGCGGGAGATATGGTACTTTTAAAGGCTTATACCTCAAAATCTAAAGAAGCTACAAAAAAGTGCTCAACTACAAAATTAGTGCTTTATTTTTGTTTGGTATGCCCTAAAGTTATATGACGAATCGGAAAAATCTGGGTCCATTTCGTAGGACTTTGAAGTTTGCAGTTCGAAGCACCGTACCCATTTTTAGTTGAAAACTAGGAAGTACTGTCAACTTTGTAGTCCTACAACAGTGTTCAGATTTTTTCGATTCATCTAAAAAGTTGAGAGCGTACTAATCAAAAATAGAGCTTCAATTTCGTAGTTTACCTTTTTTTGTATCTTCTTTGGTTTTCGTGATATGCACCTTTAAAGTATCGTACCCCACTGTTGCCTTCCGTCTGAGAAAACGAGGTACGGTATTTTTAAAGGCGCATATCTCAAAAACCAAAAAGGCTACTAAAAAAGTTGTCAACTACAAAAGTGAAGCTCTATTTTCGTTTAGTAGATACTGAAATTTTCAGACAAATCGGAAAAGTCTGGACCCCTTTTGTAAGACTTCAAAAATGGCATTGATCGATAATTAGCTGATTTTGGAGGTTCTGAGCGACATTTCTTAAAGGAGGCCAGACACCAAAAAAAAAAGTTTTCCTGATATTTTGCATAGAGAACCCCCATGAGGAGTTGAACTCATGACAGGCAGCTCAGGGGTACAGCGCCGCTACCGGCTGAGCTACGGGGGTGCGAAGGCGCCTGACGACCGATGGTCTACATAAGCGCGGCGCGATTTCGTCCCCCGAACTGCCCCCGAAATTTTTTTCGCCTCCTTTAATAGTGTTTTTTCAAACTGTAGACAGAAAGAACAAAATCAATCAAATATCACAATTTATCATTAAGTTCAAAATTTTCAAAATTTTATACAAAAAAGAATGATGAATCACTGGTTGGTCGTCAATTCAGCAGCCGTTTTTTGAAGCAGTCGATTGAGATTGAGGAGCTGAAAATAGTCGTCTATTTTGAGCCAATTTATCTCGGTTACTGTAACTGATACCGAAAAGTGGTCAACTGATAAAATGTTAAGGATTTTATAATAAACATTTTATCAGTTGACACCATTTTGATATCTCTTCTAGTAATTGAGCTATAATGGGTCAAAGTTAAAGGGTTAACTTCGAACCAATTTATCTCGGCTCATATCAAAGATATCAAAAAGTGGTAAACTGATAAAATGTTTATCATAATATCACAAATCTTTTATCGGTTGACTACTTTTTGATATCTCTTACGGGAATCTACCTACAGTACCTTTTTCATCTCCAACGTCGTATTCGCCACTTCTCGTTCTTTTGCTCTCAGCGCCGTTCGAATTTGAGCCAATCCCGTTTTCTCAACGTCCATATTCCCTTGGGTGAGAGTGGCTTTCCAATGATATTCACCCAGTTGCGTACGAACATCATTCATATACGAAACGAAGGCGTCACGATGGTCTTGGGTTTGCATTGGTCTGCAAGATTCGGGATTTTCGGTTTTCGTTGGCCAAAAAAGTGGTGGCCTAGAAACCCCCAATTTGCAAAAGTTCGGCCATCATGTCAAAATGGCCTAGAAACTCTACCAGATGAATATCAGGCCATTTCTAGGTAATTTTGACACAGTGGCCTAGAAAACTCTGTTTGCAAAAGTTCGGCCATCATGGAAACTAGAATTTTCAGAATTTCAAGAAAAAAATTCAAATTCTCCGAACTGAATTTTTTTTTTGAATTTTCGAAATTCCTAGAAATCAATTTTTCAAATTTTCCCGCCAAAAAGGAGAGACTAACTCAGCGAGCAAGCTCTTCTCCACTTCATCCATAAACCCAGTGATTCGTTTTGAAAATGTCAAAATATCACAAGTGACATTAAAATCGATAACAGCCATTTTCGATTCCTGTGTTAATTCCAGCGAATTCTGAATTCGTTCCATATTTCGTTTTCGATAAATCGCCGAGAAATTCGTCGAATTCAGGCGGTCTAATTGGAATTGTAGGGCAATTATCTCGCGAATCGATTCTGATAATTCCTTGGTTTTTTCATTGAATTTCTCTTGAATTTCCAGTTTTTCTGATTCGAAATCTTCCGAATTTCTCAAATTTTTCTCATCGTCACTTTCCGAATTTTCCAGATTTGACACCAGATTTTGAAGCTCTTCCGCGCGAATTTGAGTGGTTTTGAAGGATTTGATGAGCTCTTCGATTTGTTGGAGATCGCTGAAAATTCTTGGGATTTTTAAATTTTTTAAGATTTTCAAATTTCTAAAAAATAAAATTTTGATTTTTCAGAATTTTCAAGGATTCTCGGAATTTTTTGAAACTTTCCAAGTTTGGAATTTTCTCAGAATTTTCAGATTTTCAGGATTTCTCAAAGTTCCAAGAATTAGTTTGAAACCGCGAGACTTCGAAACATGTCATTTCGATACCGCGACACTTCGAAACCGCGACACTTCGAAACATGTCATTTCGAAACCACGACACTTCGAAACCGGTAACTTTGAAACCGAGACACTTCGAAACCAGTCATTTCGAAACCGAGACACTTCGAAACCAGTCATTTCTGTCGTGGTTTCGGAACGACGCGGTTTCGAAGTGTCGTGGTTTCGAAATGGCTGGTTTCGAAGTGTCGCGGTTTCGAAATGACGCGGTTTCGAAGTGTCGCGGTTTCGAAATGACGCGGTTTCGAAGTGTCGAGGTTTCGAAATGACGCGGTTTCGAAGTGTCGCGGTTTCGAAATGTCGCGGTTTCGAAGTGTCGCGGTTTCGAAATGACGCGGTTTCGAAGTGTCGCGGTTTCGAAATGACGCGGTTTCGAAAATTCAAAAATGTGATCTTCTGGAGACCCATCTGATGACGTGGCGATGTGTGTTGGGTAAATTTCTGAAAAATTTGAAAAATTCCAAAATTTCTGAAAAATTTAAAAATTTCAGTTTCTCAAAATTTTCAAAAAAAAATCTGGAAAACCTGAAAAATCCGAAAAGTTTAAATTTCGAAAAAAAAATGAAAATTTCAGAAAAAACACCAAAAAAAATTTTTAAATATATTTTTTTAAATATGAAATTTTTGGAAATTTGAAAATTTTTTTAGATTTTTTCCCATTTTCAGCCAACTTACAACTCCTCGTTATTCTCCAATTTCTCCGAAATTCTCGTAAATTTTCTCTCCAAATCCTCATTTTCCTTCTCCATTTTCTTCAATTCCTCAGTCTCTTGTGCCAATTTTTCTTCCAAATTTTCAATTTTCAGCGGTAAATTCAAATTTTCAGAATTTTGAACTTCAGAATTTTGGCCTTCTGAATCTCCGACGTCTTCTACCATTGCGTTTTCAATCATTTCACGGACCGTACTCGTTGGAACATGCTTCTTCGTACTGATTTCCTGAAAATTTTTGGATTCTTTTCCTGAAATTTCGAATTTTCAAGATTTTTAGAAATTCCGAAAAAAGTCTGAAATTTTCTGAAAATCCAAAAAAATACCGAATTTCGAAAAAAAAAATTTTTTTTGAAATTTTTTTTTTCAGAATTTCAGAATTTTTTGAATTTTGGAGAAAATTTTTTATTTCTAAAATCCGAATTTCAGCATTTGTGACATTTCAAAATTAAAAATTTTTATTTTCGAAATTTTCGAAAAAATCTAAATTTCAAAATTTTCTCAGAATTTCAATTTTTTTTCAGAATTTCAGAATTTTCAAAAAGCATATTTCTGGAAAAAAATTTCTTTCGGAATTCCAAATTTCCAGATTTTTGAAAAAATCAAATAAATTTAAGATTTTTTGAAAATTCGATTTTCTCAGTTTTTTTGATTTTCAGGATTTTCAAAAAAAAACTCGGAACTTCATTTTTTTCGAATTTCGGAAAAAATCCAAAATTTCAGTTTTTTCAGAATTTTTTTGAAATTTCAATTTTTATAAATTCAGAATTTTGGAAATTTTTGATTTTGAAATTTTCTGAATTTTTGAAAATTTGAAAATTCCGATTTTTGAATTTTTCAAAACTTTTAAAATTCAAATTTTGTGGAATTTTCGAAATTTTTCTTGGAATTTTAAGAAATTTTGAATTTTTCGAAATTCAAAATTTTCCGATTTTTTGGAATTTTTAGCATCAAAATTTCAAAAATTCTGGATTATTATGCCTTTGATTTTTATGATTTTTGCCGTTTTTATGGTGAAAATAAGGTTTTTCGACCCAAAAATACGCTCTAAACCCATCTTAAACCCCCTAGAAACCCTAAAAATCGGATTTCCGATAAAATGCACATTTGGCTCAGTGGATCTCGAATTTACCAATCTAGACATCCGGGTTCGGTTCCACCCGGTGGCAAATTTTTTGAAAATTCATTTTTTTTTCAGAATTTTCAATTTTTTTGGATTTCCAAATTTTTAAAAATTCCAAAAAAAACTAAATTTTAGATTTTTTCAGAATTTCAGATTTTTTGGAATTTTCAAAAAAACAATTTTTTAGATAATTTTTCTGTTTTTCCAGATGTCCTCTACCTGTAAATTCTCCGTCGTCGCCGTATCTCTCTCTAAACCCAATTGCTCATCTTCCGAATCCAAAACTACCGTACCCCCAGAGACCGAATACTCTGCTAATGTACATTTTGCGTCCATCGCCAAACTATATTTCACAGAATTATCAAATCTTTTTAGATGTCTTGTCGTCGACGTCATCTGACGTCTTCTGAATTTCGGAAACTCCGAATTCGACGTCTTCTGACTTCTGGAGACCCAACTGATGACGTGGCGATGTGTGTTGGGTGGGCGGGACAGAATTTTGCGCAGAATCCATTGAATCACATTTTTGAGCGCCGGGAAATCTAAGCCGAAAATTTGATGAGCTGATAATTGATAAGGGCAATTTATCGATTTTAGAGCTTCGATGATTTTCTCGCTTTGTTCTCTGAAAAATTGGATTTTTTGGGAATTTTTGGTACATTTTTATGATAAATTCATGATTTTAAAATCCAAAAATGTAGAGTTTTTAACTTAAAAAATCTGAAATTTCAAAAAAATTTGAAATCGAAAAAAAGTTTTTTTTTTCGATTTTTTGAAAATTAAAAGCTTTTTCTGGAAATTTGGAAATTATCTATTTTCGAATTTTCTCAATTTTGGAAAATTTGGAAATTTGAAAATTACGATTTTTGGAATTTTTAAAAAAATTTAAAATTCCAATTTTTTGGAATTTTGAAAAATTTTCTTTTAATTTTAAGAAATTTTTGGACTTTTGAAATTTCAAAATTTTCAAAAAATCGAAGAAAAAACTTTTTTTTTTCGATATTTTGAAAAATTGCTTTTTCTGGAAATTTGGAAATTTTTTTTTGATTTTCAAATTTTCTGAAATTTAAAAAATTTGGAAATTTGAAAATTCAAATTTTTTGGAATTTTCAAAATTTTTCTTTGAATTTTAAGAAATTTTGGATTTTTGAATTTTCAAGTTTTTCAAAAAATCGAAAAAATTTTTTTTTTCGATTTTTTTAAAAATTGCGTTTTCTGGAAATTTTCAATTTTTCGATTTTTCGAATTTTCTGAATTTTAGAAAATTAAAAAATTTGAATTTTTCAATTTTCGAATTTTTAAAACTTTTAAAAATTTCAAATTTTTGGAATTTTCGAAATTTTTCTTTAAATTTTCCGAATTTTTGAAATTCAAGATTTCCGAATTTTTTGGAATTTTTAACATGAAAATTTCGATTTTTATAATTTTTGCAGTTTTTAGGGTGAAAATAAGGTTTTTAGACTCAAAAATACGCTCTAAACCCATCTTAAACTCCCTAGAAACCCTAAAAATCGAATTTCCGATAAAATGCACTTTGGCTCAGTGGATCTCAAATTTACCAATCTAGGCGTCCGGGTTCGGTTCCACCCGGTGGCAAATTTTTTGAAAATTCATTTTCTTTTCAAATTTCGAGTTTATTTTTCTGTAGTTTCGATGGATTCTTTACTTTTAAAATTCAAATTTCTCGAAATTTTCCAAATTTTGAAATTTCCGATTTTTTGGAACTTTGAAAATAAAAAAAAATAAAAAATTCAAATTTTTTGATTTTTTTAAAATTTGTAACTAAATTCTGGATTTTATATGTTTTAAAATTTTCGGAAAATTTAGAATTTATTGTAAATTTTCCAAAAATCCAAATTTTCGATTTTTCAAAAAACCAAGTACGTTCGAATTTTGATATTCTGATCTTCCGACTCCTCATACAACAAGTCTGCCGCCACCTCCACATCATCATATCTTGTAATCGCCCATGCGATGCCTCCGACAATCTTAAAATTTCAATTTTTCAAAAAAAAATTTTTTTTTGAAATTACTCTATTATAAAAATTTAAACTGCCAATTCTTGCTTTGTGATAACCGCTCGCTATCAGCATTGCAATTATATCATCCCGGCATGCTTTGCTAGATTCGTTCTGGAAAAAAAAATATTTTTGGGGCAAAACTTTTTTTTTAATTAAAAAAAAATCTCACTTCTTCCCCGTTTCCAGATGAGTCCATTTTTGGCTGAAAATCGTTTAAAAAAATCCAAAGAATTGAGACTCCTCCGATTCCGAGGAAGGTANTGGCCTANAAATCCCAAAATTTGAGTTTTTAGCCCACCAAAACTTTTATTGCCTAGAAAACCTGAAATTTTCATTCCTAGGCCATATTGTTCGATGATCTAAAAATCCAAGAACTTTCGGTTTCTAGGCCACCAGAAGTTTCATGGCCTAGTCCTCCAAATAATGGGTTTCTAGGCCATTTTCACTCGATGACCTAGAAACCACATTTTTGGGATTCAAGGCCATGGCCTANAAATCCCAATTTTTCCATTTTCTAGGCCAAAAAATCCCTATTTTTGCAGTGAAATCGCCCAATTGACTCGAAAAATCGAAAATCTCGACACGAAA